AACTGGTCAAAATAAAAAAAGATGCAGTGTTTTCAGACCTCAGGTAATGCAGAGAAAACAAGTTCATATTCATTTTTAAACAACACAATACTAATGTTTTAAATTAGGTAGAGTTCAGAAATCAATATTTGGTGGAATAACCCTGATTTTCAATCACTCCTGGTGCAAAAATTCAAGCAGCTCATCTTTGTTTGATGGCTTGTGACCATCCATCTTTCTTTTTCTCTTGATCACATTCCAGAGGTTTTCAATGGGGTTCAGGTCTGGAGATTGGGCTGGCCATGACAGGGTCTTGATCTGGTGGTCCTCCATCCACACCTTGATTGACCTGGCTGTGTGGCATGGAGCATTGTCCTGCTGGAAAAACCAATCCTCAGAGTTGGGGAAAATTGTCAGAGCAGAAGGAAGCAAGTTTTCTTCCAGGACAACCTAGAATGTGGCTTAATTCATGCTCCCTTCACAAAGATGAATGTGCCCAATTCATCACTGATCCTCCACTAATCACTGGCCTCTCCAGGTCTCCGTTTAACCATTAGACAACCAGGTGTTGGGCAAAGCTGAAAATCGGACTCATCAGAGAAGATGACCTTACTCCAGTCCTCTACGGTCCAGTCCTTATGTTTTTTAATTATTTATCTATTTTTTATTTTTTTTGCAGACCTCATCCTGGCTCTTCTTTGCTTCTCACTGATGAAGGGCTTTTTTTTTTTCTAGCTTTGCCCTGCCTCTAGGAGCCTGTTTCGAACGCCCTCATTGTGCACTTCACCCCAACTGCAGTTTTCCGCTCTTTATGTAGGTCACTTGATGTCATCCTACGGTTGTTGAGTGACATTTGAATGAGTTGGCGGTTTTCCTCACTCAAAACATTTCACATCTGGCATGGTTAATAGTTATTATTTGATTCCACTTACTTTTGAGGTACTACTAGCACTGTTTTTGCCATCCAGCTGGTCTTATTGCAAGAGGATAGTGATGACCACAGCAGTGGTCTTCTTCATTAAGCAGAATGAGGTTTGCCTGTGTCGGAATTCAACAGACACTGCAATGGAATGGCTGCCATACATGTAGAGATGATGATTTAAGAAAAAATTGGAGTGGTCTCTTAATTTTTTTTCCAGAGCTGTATATATAAAATCAATGTCAATGTGACCATAACTTTATAAGATTGTGCTACATTTAGAATTCAGTTCTAAAAGGCAGTAAATTAAACTTTATTAAACACCACACAAGACTGTATGTATAGCATATTGATGCATACATGCATGCTTTGAAAATTAGCCATAGACCTTGAACTTCTTTTTATTTTTTTATTTTTTTTATTTTTTATTTTTTTACATTTCTCTAACTTTTTTTCTCCTATATGTCTTTTATTGCATCTCAAATTTCTAAATCCGGTTCCTCCATCAATTGCAGCGATGCAGTTTTGTGCAGCACATTGAGGATTGGTCATTCGATCCAGAACTTCTTGTCGTCCTCCATCAGCGCCATTCCTGCCGAGTTCGCCGGTAAAAATAGACCTTCATTATTGAATCAGCAGTCTCCTTTCAGTCAGGCCACACACAGCAACTCAAACGTCTCATACATATTCCAATACAATCCTTTGCAAAGTGCCTGAAAATCCCAATACCGGTGTCTTTCACTTCTCCT